CCCTGATGTCAGTCTCGTTTTACAAAAGTGACCCTATGAAGTATTTGTCCTTTTGTGACTAAGATATTTCACTCAGAATAATGTCCTACAGGGTCACCCATTTTGTATAATATTTCATGAGTTCCTTATTTTTTAATGCTGCATAGTAGTCCATTGTGTGAACATACCAGAGCTTCTCTATCAAGTCATTTGTTGATGGGCATTTGGGTTGTTTCCAGCTCTTTGCTATTGTAAATAAAGCTGCAATAAACTTGGGTGTGCATATATCTACTTGGGTGGCGATTATGGTTTTTTTAGGGTAAATTCCCAGTAGTGGAATTGCTGGTTCAAATGGTATTTTAATTCACAACTTTTTCAGAAAGCCCCATACAGCCTTCCATAGCCGTTGCACAATTTTACACTCCCACCAACAGTGAATAATGGTTCTGGTTTCTCTGCAACCTCACCAGCATTTTATGTTTGCTGTTCTGTTAAATTTTGCTATCCTCACTGGGGTGAAATGATATCTCATAGTTGTTTTGATTTGTATCTCTCTTAGACCTAGTGATTTTGAACATTTCTTTATGTGTTTGTTTGCCATCTGAATGTCTTCTTTGAAGAAGTGTCTGTTCATATCCTGTGCCCATTTTTCAATTGGGTTATTTACCTTTATCTTGTTGTGGTTACTATTTTCTTTTGATGTTTGCTCATCATTCAGTATTTTACCCATGCAGTTCTTCGATATAGCAGTCTGAGGCTTGAATTTGTTCTTCTATCAACTTGAGAAATGTTGAGTATATACTTTCTTTGGGGTTTTCTTTCTCCAGATCTTTGCAGTTTCATCATCATAATTTGGTTTGTATTTGCCAACTGCCCCTTGAAATTTTATGTTCAACTTTTATTTCATCATTACTTCCTTTTGTTTTAATTTCTACACTCAAGAACTAGTTTTAAAGTCTTTTCTGGCATCTATTTTAGTTTTCTTTTTAATGACCTTTTCCTTTCTTCTTGGACAGTGTCCTTAATGTAATGTAGTAACATTACAGTTTCTAGTCACTAGTGTTCAGTGTATTAAATCTGTACTCACAATGGTTTTTAAATTACGGTGAGATAAACCCAAGGCCCTATTTTGGTTCTCCTGGACTAGTTTTGATTTCTTTCAGCTTCACCTTGAACTTGCAAAAGAGCATTTGAGAGGTCTGTTTCATAATCATCCCTTTCAGTCTATTCAGCCCAATCAGGCCTTATTCGGGATGATAACACTGACTTTTTATTTCCCCTGTGTACTGTTGAATTGGATCGGACTGGCACAGGAGGAGATTGCCCCTCCTCCTTCAATGGAGCATCTGGTGGATTCGACCCATGTGCCTTTCGGATTGCAGCACAGCTTCTTGACATTAGGCCACCAGAGCTCCCTGATACAGACTTTTAAATAATCTCTTTCCATAGATGTAGTCAGTTTGATTCCTTGTGTATTCCATCAAGTGGGGTCAATATGTATTTTCACCTGTTATGCTTTTCTAAAAAGATATTTGTGATGAATATAAGTCATTTAAAGTTCTATCAGATAAGAAGTAATTACACCATATTTTTATGATGATGAGATTGGTTAAGTGGTAAGTAGTTTACTGTACTGGAGCTGGAGTAGCACAAATGCAGACTTCTTGAATAATGAGGTCACAAAGTTGACTTTGATAGGAGCATGGGTTTTCTGTTAGTCCATGTAGAAAAATTGAATATATGGACACAGATTTAGGCACACTTATAACTTCTGATAGCAAGAATATTAGTACTTCATTTTATATTTTACTCTAGGGAAATAAAAGCAAAGTTGTCAGATAAAAGTGAGAATTGAGTAGATTTTGGAGGTTTATGGAAAAGGTGAATTAGTTATCTTGGGAAAAGGTAGAGCACAATAAGTAGGTAAGTATAATAAGATGAGCAGGCTGCTCTGAGGAGGAGCTACTTGATTTTCACCATTCTAAATATAGAGAAAATAGCTAACATTTTTTCATTTTTCTTCATTCACCTCTAATTGCCCAAATGCAGTTGCAAAATAAAAGGAATTTACTATTGTAAATTAAAAGGGTTAAGATTGCAGTAGGACTATGATATCCTCAGGGAATAGTGAGGTTTTATTTGTAATTGTTTTTGTTGTTGTTATGTGTTGTCGAGTCACCTACAACCCATAGTAACCCTCTGCACAGCAGCTCTGAACCCTGCCCTGTCCCGAGCCAGTCTCACTAATTCTGACGCGCCAACCCCCATTGCCCATCTCATCCGCAGTCTTCCTCTCCTGCACTGTCCTTCTCCAAGGACTGCTCTCTCCTTGTCATATGCCCAAAATATGTGTGACAGATCTTCAAAATCCTAGCCTCCAAGAAGAAACCTGGTTTCACTCTCTCCAAGACAGACTAATTTGTTGGGTTTTTTTTGGCAGTCCATGGTTTGTTCATGACTCTTCTCCAGCACCTCAGTTTGAAGGCATCGATTCTTCCTCTGTCATCCAGATATACAAGCTGGATTTTGAACAGGTCGTGGCACTAGAGACATTATTGTCAATGTCAGATGCATCTTGGCAGAAAGAAAAGAGTACCAGAAGAATGTCTGTCTGTGTTTCATTAACTATGCAAAGGTATTTGACAGTGTGGATCACAACAAATTGTGGCTAACCTTGAGGAAAGGAGAATGCTGTAACACTTGATTGTGCTAATGCAAAACCTATACTTGACCAGGAAGCAGTCCTTAAGACAAAGCAAGACAACACTACATGATTCAAAATAAGGAAAAGAGTACGTCAAGGATGCATCCTTTCTCCACACCTTTATAATCTATATGCAGAACAGATCATTTGGGAAGTAGGGCTTAATGAGGAATAATGTGAGCCTGATACAGGCCATGGTCTTTGCCATTACTTGCTGTGCATCGGAGAGCTGGGCAGTGACTTGGGGTTATAGAATGAGAGTTCATACCTTTGAACTTTGGTGCTGGAGGAGAGTATTGAATATAACATGGACTGCTAGGAGAACAAACAAGTTTGTCCTGGAGAGAGGATGAAGCCAGGCTACTCCTTGGAGGCAAGGATTCCGAAGCTTTGTCTGACATACTTTGGACATATTGCAAGGTGGGATCAGTCCTTGGAGAGAGTCACCATGCTTAGGAGGGTGGAAGGACAGCGCAGAAGAGGAAGACCCTCCATGAGATGGATTGATTCCGTCACTGGGGTAATGGGGGTAGGTATGTCTGAGACAGTAAGATTGGCAAGGAATAGAGCAGAGTTTAAGGCTGTTGTACAATGTGGCATCAGCATTGGAGGTAGACTCATCAACAGCCTATATTATTATGTAAATGACACAACCTTGCTTACTGAAACTGAAGAAAACCTGAAGTGCTTGCTGCAGAAGTTCAAGAACTATAGTCTTTAATATGAATTGAACCTTTAACATCAAGAAGACAAAGATTCTCACCATTGGGCCAATTGGCAGCACCATTATGGATGGAGAAGAGATTGAGGTTGTTAACAATTATACCTTGTTTGGCTCCACTCTCACCAATACTCTTGACACCAGCAGTCAGGAAATCAGAAGGCAAGTTGCATTGGGAAAATCTGCTGTCAGGGACCTCTCTCTCATTTATAATTATAAGTTCAAAGAGGAAATTGAGGCTATAGAGATGCTCTATTGAGTTCAAGGAGGGAAGGTAGGAGTTTCTTTGAATGTCAACGGATAATGAATGAGAAGTGAAACCAAATTAGAGAATGGTGGAGCTTGAAGGTTTGATGACTGAGGTCATTAGGAATATGAAGCATACTGGGATTAGTCCTTATGATTTCTTAGGTGAATATTGGTCCCCATTTCTGATTATGCCTACTTTCGTGAGATTAGTCTAGTCCTTCCAGTGGTCTGTCGTTATATTTACAATTGCTCTTACCCTAGCTCACTAGCCCTACAGGATCTAGTTGTGTCCTACCATGGCTTCTTTCTTTGGACTCTTAGTATTATTTTTGCCTCCTGCCACCCCCTATTATTTTCTTTACAACTTCTTGAACATACAGATATGTTTACAATGCAGTACTTTTTATCTTTGCCTCTCTGAGGCTTCTTCATAACCTTAAGATCTCTGGGAAAAAATGTCACCTCATTAATCAGACCTGCCCTGACTGTTCTTGTGTCTACCTTCATACTGGTGTCTTTTATTTCCTCCCCCCTTTTTTTATTATCAATTTTCATGACCCCCCTTTTAAAAAAAAAATTCTTAATATTTTTCAGTCCAGTTATGAGGCTAGAGATGTTCTTTTTTTCACTTGTGGATTATCAAGCACAGTGAACAGTCCCTTAGTGTGTCTTCAGTAAATTGTTCAGTTGAATGACTATAAATTACAAACTTCTCTAATGCCTTTAACAGACCAACTGGCTTTCAATTAAATTTATGCACTTTAGTAGCAAGTGTTATATGCGGTGGCTTTTCTTTGTGATCTGCATTTTCTCCAGTCACTTTCTTGCAAAAAAGCATCAACATGCAATGGAAAGCCAGCTTTATATTATGAAGTTTACTGGGAAATGAAACTATGAATTAATTCACTGATTATGTTAAAAGTAGTTTTAAAAACAAGTATCTTCGATAAATTAGCAGGTTTATATTTATGGCCGGAACATTCACTTTTATGAGATAATATGACTTGTGTTTTTTTTATTTTATAAATCAAATTTGTTCATTCTTTACTGGATACTATTTAAGATGTATTTGCTGCCTTTAGAGATACTTGTATAAATTAAGGAGGAAGAGCCTAAGTGTTGAAAAAGTGTAGTAACAATAAAATAAAATAAGATAAAAGTCAAGACCATGCTATTTCAAGGTGTAACACTGTTTTATTATTATGCCTACCTGGTCCAAACAGTAATTACTGGCATGGTTCAGATTTTGAAGATGTATGCCTCATTCCTTTGTTCCTGTAGAGCCACTCAAGATCTCAGACCCATAGTATTGTCCTCTTATAACTGATGTTTGTGTTTTCATTGTAGTTGTCGAACAAGCAACCGCAAGAGCTTGATTGTGACCTCTAGCACATCGCCCACACTTCCACGACCACACTCACCTCTCCATGGCCACACAGGTGAGTAATGTTAGAAGGTTAGTTAAAGAAGGGTGGAACGGAACCATGACTTCTGATGTCCAGCTTCCACTGATCACCTGCTAATATTTATTCTTTACTCCTGCTCACTTTGTGTTGTTCAGTACATTATGTTATCACTTCAGATGGCTGGTGGAAGCATAAAGAGTTCATACATGAGCATGCTTTCTGTAGGAGAATGGTCAGTTTGTCTTTCATTATTAGTTATTTTCTTACCTTGTATTCTCACTAAGCTTTCTGGTCTTACACAACTTTTGGGAGTCAAATATGTAACCTGGTTTCCATGGCCTCTGTTCAAGAGTACTGAGTATACATTATGGTTCCACTCATTTGGGACCATGTAATGAGATTATAATAATATTTTATTCTACCAAGCTAAATGCTAAGGACTCAGAACTACTTCATGACTCCTTATAAGCTCTCCTTTCTCAGACAAGGATATAACAAAATGAAGAGGAGTATTTGTTGCATGTTAACATTAATTTTCCTTATTAGAATTTAAGGACATGACCTCATACACTTATAGACCCTGCACCTCTAGACATTATGAGAATTACTTGCCTCTCATTGAGGAATATGTAATAATTACGGAGCTTGCACTGAGTCAAATAGACACTGCCTCCCAGAAGAAAAGCAGGAGGTGTTTTGTTGTTTTTTTTTTAGTTAGCCATGTGTTTTGGGCTAGACATACATTTTTATATCCCAGAGAAGCCTCATAGTATTTTTCATTCACCCCCTATACAGTCTAAAGTTAGACTGTGAATAAGGAAGTTTGAAGACTTGATGCCTTTAAATTAAGGTCTTGGTGAAGAATACTAAATATACTGTGAAGTTATAGAACAAATCTATCTTGGAAGGAGCACAAGTAGAATATTTCTTAGAAGAAAGGATAGGGAGACTGTCCCACATGTTTTGGCATGTTTTCAAGGAGGGACTAGTCCTAGGAGGACATCAGTAGAAGCTCCATGAAAAACAGGAAGACTCTTCAGCGAGATGGATTGTCACTGTGAGGTGTGACTATAACAATGGGCTCAAGCACGGCAGTGAGTATATATAAGGATGGTGCAGATCTATTGAACCTGAGGTCACTCCGAGTCAGAGCTGAATCTTAATTGACATCTTACAACAAAGTCATTATACATCTTACAAACAGAAACTCTGTTTCCCTCTTACTCACCTTCTTAACCATTAATCAGTTTTGACCTCTATAATTTTGCTTATTCTAGCAATTTAATGTAAATTGCAATCATGTAATATGTGTCTTTTCATGTCTGGCTTTCTTTAGCATGTTTTTAATGTTCATCATGATACACATGTAGTATTTATTGTATAGATATATCATACTTTCAAAGAGGAATTTGATGTCTTTGAGCTGTTGTTGTTCTTATGTGCCATCGAGTCGCTTGCAACTCATAGCCACCCTGTGTACAAGAGCCCTAAATGCCATTCTAT